CCTCTTACCAGCCTTAGTCCCACTAATCAAGACCAGTCACTGGCGTCACCAGCAATCTAAAGCCTCACCTTATTGCTCACCTTGTCACGATGCTGTCATACCAAACATCAACCAATGCAGTAACCATTTACATCAAATATACATCTAATTACCATACTGTGTGTTCATTATCCAAACCTGTACATTAACATAACAGATTCCTTTGCAAGGCTCTGGTTGGAAGCACTGTGTCACCTGCTGAGTGGGCATTAACCTCTGCCCCAAAACCAGTGACATTTGGGTTTGCTGGGTCTTTATTTTAACTAGAGCCTCAACTTTTTTAGTTTCTATATTTTATTTCTGTAATGACAAGACTTAACAGGCAGAAGCCAATTTGGGTTCATTTGCTTGTTTTTGCAGCTTTATGTTTGAGTAATTGTTATGGAGCCAGTCCTTTATGGTTTTTAGAAATTTGGAGTTTAATTAAATGTGAATTCTATTGTTTCTATGATTTGGCCCTCCTCCTCCTTCCACTGTTCATCTGGCTTGGTTCAACAAATGTCTAATACCCCTACCCTCATTGCTCCAGGATGTCTGAGGGTTTTGGAGCGTAGGGTGCAATTTGCTGTGAGTGTAGCTCAGCATTCTTTAGTGAATACCCGTGCCATGTTGGCAGCGGGCACAGTTGAGTCATTGCTTCCCACCAGACTTCTGTAGCCTTGTTTCTCATAGGGTGTGTACTAAAAGCTCAGATACTTTTAGTGTGTACTTCCTGTCTGATCTGGCATTGTGCATGAAACTCAAGCTCTGCTCTGAGCTTTTCTTGGGGCTTCCATGGCCAGGGAGGAGCCCAAGGTGAGTTTCCTTCACCCAGTCTAGTACAGTACTTTGGTTTCCTCAGGGGGGAAATTTCAGTTTGGGGTGGGGGATCTTCCCTATCCTTCATCAATATTTGAGTTTAGTTTCTCAGTTGCTGCTCCCTGTGTGCATTTCCATAGCCCAGCTGGGTCCTAGGATGTATATTTCAGAAGGGTTTCTGTCATCCCACTTTCTGGGGTTTTCAGCTGATTACATTCTTTTTTGGCTCTTCCCTTAAGTATGGGCCCCTCACATCCTTGTTTGACCTCAGCCTCTTTGGAGTTAAATTAACTTAATTCTTTAGATTGCAGTTATGAAGTCCCTGCTTCTTGCCTCATTTCCACTTCTGGAGCCTTGGCTCTTTGTTCTGGTCCTGTTCTGATTTGTGGGCATGTGGTAGCTTCTTGTACAGCTGCCTTTTGCTTCTGAAGCATCGGCTGGGGAGGTTCACATGGGTCCCATGTTCATTTGGTTTCTGTTTCCTGCAAATGGGCTGTGGTTGGGCTTTACTCTCTCCTGTTCCAGGTGACCTGGATGTTTTGGCCTCAATGCCAAGCCTTATGGATATGATGACTTTTTGGGTTTCAGAGGCTTTGCCCGAGTTAGTTCACTTCCCTTTCTTGGGAGGTGGTTGCAGAAATTTCTTCACTTGTTTAATGTGCCAGCATGCTGTGCTTGGTCATGCTTTCTTTTGTTGGTCAGGTTAGGCTCCCTATGGCCCTGTTTTTCAGAAGTCAGCTACTGTTGCTGCAATATGGGTTTCTTCTTGATAGTCTTCCTGAGCCTGTGGTGGTGGTGATCTTCAGCCCTTCCTCAAGTTTCAGGGTTCTTTGCCCTGTTATTCCTCTGTGGCTCTTTTCGGTCGTTGCATTTTGATTGGGTTCATCATCTCTTCATGGGCTTCCTAGTTATTGTCAGTTCCTGTGCTGAGACATTTCAACCCAACTCATGCCCTCTCAGATTTGGCTGTTTCCTGGTGGGTCTGACCTTTTGCATGACCATTCTAACTCAGGTCCACCTAGTTTAGGGGACAGTTTTTTCCTGGCTAGTGTCCTTGGTCCTCCATAACATGATCTGGCCCCATCCTGTTTCATCAGAGGTTTGTGGGACTGGTTAGGGTTTGTTGTAGAACAACAACCCCTATAATCTTGCTCTGAAGATCATATTATAATACAAGAATAGAACAAGATATTCTATCTTGCTCTGAAGCATGCCAAGAGTGGCTGAAAATGCATTCAGCATTCATATTTTTCAATATTATATATATATATATATATATATATGTAGATATATATATACATACATACATACACTAGTTTCAAAGAAAATATATACATATTCTTCAATATATTTTTACAAATGAATATTGCGATGATAATACTCCTCATTAGTTGTAAAAGCCTAGATTATTAGCTACAAGTTGAGCTTTATTTTAAAGAAAATGGTCAACTAAGTTTTTTGGTGTGAAAATTAAATTCTCAAAACTTAATGGTTTTTCAAAGTTTCTAAAGTTGTTAATCAATTATGGGAAGATTTTAACCAAATACACACCTCAGGAGGCTTTCCAATTTCTATTATGGCATGTTGGAAAATTTTATAATGAGATACATTTTTTGAAAGAAATAAAAACATCAGATTCATGATTTCTTATTATGAAATAAAATTGAACATTTTATCTTATACTGACAAACCTTGGTTCTCGAACATCTCCGAACTCAAACAATTTGGCACTTGAACACTGTGTTCATGCTCGGTAGTCGACAGTTTACTTGGCACTCTAATGTAAACATACATATTTCACGAGTCTGCTTCCCAATACATAGCTGTTTTTCAATGCACAACACCACTAAACTTCTCTAAACTTTCTCATATTTTCTTAGATATTTTTGCATATTCTTAGCATAAATAAGTCACCACTGTGCCTAAGAAAATTAGTGATAAGAGCCAAACAAAAAGAAAGATAGTTCGAATGAGGAACAAGATGAAAAATAAACTCAAAGTAAAATATGAAAATGGTGCCCCACGTCGTGTCTGCTCTTGTTACACCACAGGAATTACTTGGCCATTTACTTTCATTGATTCTCACCTTATTTATTAAATTTTTTGTTCTCACATGTTGTATTGATGTATCAATTGTGGTATCCATTATGCATAAGTTTAGACATATATAAATGTGCATAAATATCTTCACACCCTGTATTTATTCATAGGAATCTATACCTATAAGATATTTATGATATATGTGTATATGTGTATATATATATATATATATATATATATATATATATATATATATATATATATATATATATATATATATATATATATATATATATATATATATATATATATATATAAGCATAAATCATATAATTGCACATAGCACACATTTTGCATGCAAAACTTATGGGGGCCTGACGGCTGAGTGGACAGCACTCGGGTTCATACTAATAAGGGCCCGGGTTCAATCCCCAGTGGACACAGAAACAAATGTGCAGAGTTTCTTTCAATCTGATGCTCATGTTCACCTAGCAGTAAATATGTACCAGGGAGTTACACAGTGTGTATTATTTACAGTACTTATTTACTGCTAGGTGAACACGGGCATGAAGTGATAGGAAACATGCCCAACCATTTCTGTCTCACCCAGGATTCAAACCTGGATTTTGAATGAGAGATGAAAATGAACCTGACTGTGCTGTACTGTACTGTACAGGGGAAAAAAATTCCTGTAAGCCTTAGCTTCCTTTCTGGAAATTAATAAACAAAACTGGCACCTAGTCAGGTGCATCACCATCCATTTACTGAAACCTCCGGCAGGAGCCTCTGATGCCAAACAAAATTTCAAGGACTGTTATGAACCTGGACTATATGAGTGATAAGGAAAAATCTATTACAAATAATTAACTTTAAAATAAATTTTCTGAACTTGACGTTTTCAACAATTCTTTGCCTCGCTACGGCTTAACAAAAATTCTTTGATTTCCTCCACTTATCAAAAAGAAATGTTTCATAATATAGAAAAGAAAAACAATTTTTTATTTAATTTAATTTATTATTTTTGTTTACCAGAAAATTGACCTAATTTAGGCTGTGCAGTCCAAGAGTTTGAGTCAAGAAATGCTAATTTGGAAATAATCTGATCTGTTCGAGTACTGAACGAATTTTTTCCCATAAGGAATAAGGTAAATTGGATTAATCTGTTCCAGACCGCAAACAATATACATATGAATACAATAAAGAATTGAAGTAAATGCAAATATACTCTCACTTTACCTGCACTAAGGAGAGTTGATGGCTACGTGGAAAATAGTAAGAATGGGAGGGAGAGATGTTATTGTTTGCAGGCAAGTCCCCTACCATAAAAAACTTCAGGTAGTTGTGCTCCTGGGGGTCACTCTCTTTTCTGTCTTTTTTCTATCATAGAGATTGTAGATTTAGGAATACCAAAATCAGTAGGAAGAGAAGACACGCAGGAAGCACTTTCATATTTTGCTTTGAATTATTTTTTCATCTTTATTGTGGTTCTAACTAATTTTCTTTTCATTTGGCTGTTATCACCAACCTTCTAAGGTGCCATGGTGACTTATTTATGCCAAGAATGTAAAAAATATCCAAGAAAATACGAGAAAGTTTACAGAAAACTTTAATGGGGTGAACACTGAACGAAAGCTACTAGGAAACTGATTCGTCCATTACATATGTTTACATTTGAGTGCTGAATTGAGTGCTCAGTCAACTACCGAGCACAAACACAGCATTCGAGTGCCGAACTGTTTGAGATGGGAGACGTTCGAGTACCGAGGTTTCTCTGTATATGCATGTATATATACACACACACACACACACATACACCCAGATACAGTATATACTGTATACAATGTATATAATGACTGCAGGCCCAAATGATAAGAAGCTGATGTAAGCACGATATTCCTCAGTCCTGCTGAGAATTGAACCCTCAACCTAAGACTAGAAGTCAGGTAACATACCCTGAAGTCACTCATGCAACTTGGATATGCTTGTGTTTAGCATCAGTTAGAATTTACCTGAAACCAGCATATAAGTCTGCAATAACGCAACAAACCATATAAGCACATCTCTCAATCATCTTACATTGAAACTTGAAAACACTTTAAGCACTAATGAATTGAGAGACTTACCTTCATCATAAGGAGAAGTGTATTGAGCACGATGAGTAACATGATGAAATATTCAAAAGGTGTAGATACAACTATTCGCCAGATCTTGTACTTAAAGCTGACGCGGTCCTTAGGCATGTACCGCTCCAGGGGTTTGGCTTGAATAGCAAAATCTATACAGGATTTCTGTGAAATTATATAATGTAAATAGTACAGGGTTCTCTGAATACAAAAGCTTTTCTTAAAAAAACAAATCAATATTAATAATTTTATTTTCATTCAAGCTAACTGATCTAGAAAGACTTGTATTTTTAATCCTTTTAAGATAATTTCACATTAACACTTGGAGAGTGCAAATCATATAAATACAATTTTGGTCTAACTGCCTGGAGGTCACATATCATATCACATCATATCATATCATATCATATCATATATATTATATATATACAGTGTATATATATATATATATAATTTGAAATTTAAAATGTTTAAAATAATCCTGCACATACACAGGGCTTGCATTTGTTTTCTCAGTCCTCCGGCAACCATCCCCCATCTTGAAAAAATCCAAAGTTCATCACTTTCCCTCTAGAGCCTTTATACAAAAATGCGAACTATTTTTGGCAACATCACCTTCCATTGTCTGAACATTCAGGGCAGCCATATAGGAGACAGTAAACTTTTAACAACAGCAAATGAGCGACTACCATGTACATATTTCAGGCAAAATATGTGCTATTTTAAGATTTAGGCTTCCTTGTGCATACTATATGGATCTCAGGGTTTTCCCTTGGTCTTTATACCACTCTATGGTTTTTCTGCAAATTATTATTGGTATATACATGTACCACTTTCTTTACTTGTATATCAAGCCCTTATATGTTCTTCAGTATTTTCTAAATTAAAGCCTTATTATTACTGTATGAGCCCACAACGGCTCATACTATAGATCCTCTCACCTGGTTTTTGTCTAACTCTCCATCCTGAAGCTCAGCCTCTCCCTGCTCTTGAAAGGTGATGATGATCAAAGCAACGAAGATGTTGACAAAGAAGAAAGGAAAAACAATGAAGTAAACAATGTAGAAGATGGACATTTCAACGGCAACCTGTGGCTGGGGTCCATGATCTTCATATGTAGCCGCCATGGAATTCTGAAGCACTCTGTTGGGGGAGAAAAGAATGATGCAAGAACTTCAATTTAACTTAAACAGAACACTGAAAGATTACTGCTGGTTGAAATACACATGACTTCTGGGAATATAAGTCATCAACTACTAGCCAGATATTAGGCATCATATACGTCCTGTAGCTCAGCAGACTACATCCTTGGCTCACAATCAAAGGAACCAAGTTCAATTACTAGGCAGGATAAAAATGGTTGGGCACATTTCCTTTCACCTAGCAATAAAATAGTTACCCAAGAGTTAGACAACTGTTGTGGATTGCATCCTTGGGAAGATTAACAGTTGGCCTTTGGGAACCTCAATAAGCCCGAGTACAGGCTTACTGTCTCCATCAATGGAAATGATATCACATGGTGTAAGGAATAGTTAGCCGAATTCCTGCCCGATTGGTCAATGGATCAAATCTCACTAAGCTCACGTGCATTTCAATTAATTGTTTAATAAAATTGTGAACATTTACTGTTAGTTACTGAGGAGTATGTAAGAGAAGCTGGGATGTGCAAGCAGTAAAAATAACATACAAGAAATACAAAACTCAATATGAAACTAAAGTAATACAATGGACTGGCAAAGTAATACAACTGACTGACGAGCAACTATCACATTCTCTAAACTTTATTGTTTGTGGGGAGCCCGGTGTTCGACCATCCGGCTCTATTCGGACTGTTCTCCAGTGGTTCACTGCCTGAATCGCAGGGGTTCCCTTCGGTCCTTGCCTTTTAGGGGCTCGTCGCTTCAAGTAGCTTGTCTGCTGGTTTCTCGGGTTTGGCTCTCCGTGCAGTTCATATCGAGATGTCTCTCGATATATGTGGTGCCCTTACCAGACTGCAGAGCATTCGCGGTGGATGCCTTTTGACAGGACTGGTCGAGGTGGGCGTTACCTGTACCTCTTTTTTCCGGTCCGGCTCTTTCCCCCGGTCCGGCTGTTGCTTCGAGTTCTGGCTCAGTTGGAGTCTTACCACAGGAAAGTCATTCTTGTGGCCCCTTAGTTACCAGCCCAGCCTTGATATTAGGTTACCGGCCCAGCCTCTTTCAGCAGATCGGACCGGTCTGGTACATGGCAGGTTCGGTCTTCTCCTATGCTCTTCACATCTGGACTTTTTTTAGTGCAGATTTATCACCATTTGTATGGTGATCAGGTGGCTTCGTTGATGGTGTCCCACCTGAGAACTTCGTCTCAGCGACAGTATGAAGTTTCCTGGTGCTCTTTCTGCCATTTTCTCTCTCTTCGTAGGTTGTCTTCTATTTCTGATCGGGTTGTCTAGTCCTTTCTTTCTTGGCTTTTTCAGGACCGTCATTTGATGCCGAATACTGTCACCTCGTATCGTGCAGTGCTGGTATTTGCTCTAGCTTGTATTTGGGGTGGATGTCACTTCTGCTCCATTCCGTAAGCTTGTTCGTGCTTTGCTTCACTTCCAACCTGCTCACACACCGCCTGAGCCGTCCTGGTCCTTGGACAGGGTACTCTTCGATCTCTCTTCTCCTCGGCTCATAGTAGTTCAAGATTGTGTTTCCAAGGTTCTCTTTCTGTTGGCATTAGCCTCTGAGGGTCGAGTTGGAGAGTTTCATGCTCTCCTCCGGCGCAGGGGTTTCTGCTCCTTCAGTACTGGAAGTCAGTTTGTTCGTTTGCAGCTTTCTCCTTCTTTTCTGACAAAGAATGGACGGCTGCCTTCCGGGGGGGTCTTTGGGTCATTGATGCTTGGTTGGTCAGGCCAGGGGTGCATCACACGTTGTGTCCAGTTGCAGCTCTTCACAGTTACCTGCGGACCTCGGCTTCTTTGCCGGAATGTGCTTTATGTTGATCTGGTTTCCCTCATCCCTTGTTCCAGGGCTCTGGTCTTCCAGGTCGTCTGCAGGGTTATTAAGTCTAGCCAGCCTGTGGTTTATCCTCATGACCATGACATTCGGAAGTTTGCTGCTTTAGCTGTCGTGTTCGGCAACATGTCTTGGGTTGATATTTAGGCACAGGGACTTTGGAGGTTGAACAGGGTCCTGGCTACATATTAATTGAATCACTAATATGCACATCATACTTTTGAGTATAGCGATGGTTCACACATTTTATTATATAAATATATCACACTACACACTATTGAATAATATTACTGTAAAAAAATAGAGAAAAAAATCAATCAGACACACTGAAATAGTTGAGTAATATCTTTGTGGCAACTTAGGTGGACACCTGACAGAGCAGGTGGAGGAGACCAGCGCAGGATGCTTACTGTGTCAGTTCCTCAATTTTGTCAGACTTCCTCGCCCTATTGCGGCCAAAATATGTCACCTACGATTTTTTTATTATTTTTTCCATGATCAGGGAACACAAATAAACACTTTTATAAGACAAATTTTTTGTTTTTGATTTTTGTTATTTCTTATGTCTGGTCATGTTGCAGGCTATAATTGCAAGTGCCTCCCAGGGGCTAAATGCAATTATCCTCATGCAGTGATCTCCAGGGTAATGCAGTTACCATCATAAGTTGATTACAGTTATCACGCAGTTTTACATGAATGATGTAAATATGATTATAATACATCTATATGGATGTATTAAAGTTAACCTACAGCCATGAAAAAATCTGTTATAATTTTTCATTGCTTATTATAGACAAGGTTATTTTGTAACACTAACAAGACGATTATTGTCACATCACAACTTGGTGTTTCCCACAGCACTGGAACCTATTTCTGTATAACATTACCAGACAGAAGAGCAGCAAAGTGGGTTGGAAGGCACTTCCTAAGAGTTTTGCCAGGCACAGTTTTTCATACAATATAGATGTCATATTACACTTTATTTATTTATTTATTTATTTATTTTATTTCTCCCTGCAAGGGAGGAGGTATTTCACACTGTAAGCTCATATACAGTACTCCATCATTGTTTTCTGGGAGGGTTCTGTCAATTGCTTCCTGCTGCTACATCCTGGATAGCTACACACAATTCAATTAATACCAGGTCCTTAAGTCTTAAAAAGTTTACCACAGACCAAAGGCCAAAAGATGGTCCTCACACAGAGGCGTAAGGAGCAGAGGATTCAAGATCCTTCTAACCAAATGAAAAAGCCACCAGAAAGGTAGGGCAAACCAAAACAGACAACAGCAAGGTAAAATTAAAATAAAAATGCAAGAAAAATAAATAAAGAGAAAAATTAAACCCAATATTGTGCATTCTCACTAACAAACCCCGCTCCAACAAATCCCTGGATGATCTGAACAAATTGTATTCGGTACAAATCGTTCAGAACATACAAATGTTCAATTATGTGAGGATTATTCACCCAAGCCATCGCCAAGTCTGAGCACTGGGAAATGACTGTGATATCATCCATTTCCCACTTAAATAAAGTGCAGTAAAGAATTGTACAGTGCTTTATCTTAACCATTGTATCCATTAGAGATAATGGATAATAAAATAATAAAAGGATAATAAAATAGTGTCAGGGTTGGCAGATGGTGTCAGTGGTGAGGGTTGGTGTCAGGGAAGGATAGTAATTACCTAAGTGTAGTTACAGGATGAGTGCTACACTCGTGGTGTCCCATCTTCCCAGTACTCTTTGTAATAGGATACTTTCAAACTACTGAATGTCTTGGCCTCCACCACCTTCTCATTAAACTTATTCCAACCGTCTACCATTCTGTTTGCAAAAAATTAACTTTTTAATGTTTTTTGGGCAACTTTGTTTCCTTAGTTTGAGCCTGTCCTCTTGTTCTAGAAGTTGTTAATATCCTCTTGTTCTAGAAGTTCCTAATTTCAAGAATTCTTCTTTGCCAATTTTATTAATTCCTGTTACTATTTTGTACAAAGCAATCATATCACCTCTATCTCATAGCTTTGCCATATTTAACATCACTAACCTCTCATCATAGCTCTTATTTTTTCAGTTCAGGAAGCCACTTAATTGTGTCTTTGCATCTTTTTCTAATTATTGATGTGTTTTTTGAGTTATGGGCACCATACAACTACTGCACATTACAATTTTGGTATCACAAAGTCGTGAACAATTTCTTTAATATTTTACCATCCATGTATTTAAAAGTGATTTTGAAGTCATAAAGAGTAACAAAGGTTCCTCCCACAATGCTCTTTATGTGGTCCTGAAGGTGGGGGTTGGTAATTACATAAGTGTAATTACCTAAGTGTAGTTACAGGATGAGAGCTACACTCATGGTGTCCCGTTTTTCCAGCACTCTTTGTCATATAACGCCTTGAAACCACTGACGGTTTTGGCCTCCACCACCTTCTCACCAAACTCGTTCCAACCGTCTACCACTCTGTTTATAAAAGTGAATTTTGTTATATTTCTTCAGCAGCTTTGTTTTGTTAGTTTAAATCTATGACCTCTTGTTCTTGAAGTTCTGGGTCTCAGAAATTCTTCCCTATCAATTTTATCGATTCCTGTTATTATTTTGTACGTAGTGATCATATCGCCTCTTTTTCTTCTATCTTCTAGTTTTTGCATATTTAATGCCTCTACCCTCTCCTCGTAGCTCTTGTCCTTCAGTTCTGGGAGCCACTTAATGGCATGTCTTTGCACCTTATCCAGTTTGTTGATGTGCTTCTTAAGATATGGGCACCATACAACCGCTGCATATTCCAGCTTTGGTCGAACAAAAGTTGTGAAGTCATGGTGTAAGACAGGTGGTGAGGGTTGGTGTCAGGGGTGGCAGGTGATGTCAGTTGTGGGAGGTTGGTGTCAGGGGTAGCAGGTGGTATCAGTGGTGGGGGTTAGTATCAGGAGGGGCAAGTGGTGGGGGTTGTTATCAGGAGCAGCAGGTGGTGTGAGTGGTAGGGGTTGGTGTCAAGGGAGGTAGGTAGTGTCAGTGGTCAGGGATAATCTCCCTGGAAGTCAAGGATGCATATTGGCACTTTCCTATACATCAGAGGTTCAGGGATTGGATAGGTTTTGTAATGAGGTTTCTTATTGCCTTCGGGTTCTTCTGTTTGGGCTCAATCTGGTTCCATGCATCTTCACT